ATTTCCTAAAATCATAGTAATTACCACATTGGCCCAGTTGCATGGCCCCTCAAACATTTTGTCTGTCAGGATGCATCACCAGACAAGTCTTGGTGGCAAGTCTGGGCTACTCTCCTGGCTATCAACTTCAAAGGTTAGGCACTCACCACTCTGCACTTCGCTAAGACTCTATCAGCCATTGGTTTATCTTAAGGTGTAAAAAATCTACTAAATCACCACTAAGGGTGATTCGAATTCTATATTTTTATGTCAAGTTATACTTCTATCTAATGGGCCTAAACTTGCCTCAATAAAGTTTTAGAGATGCACCCTCATTCTATGATTTCAGGATTTAGTGAACAACTGTGCTTACCTTTTTCATCTCTTCATGGTTTTGGGGAGAGGTCTTCTTTCTGCCTTCGTTTTTCTATCTAAACTGAAAGAGTTTTAATCTGGTTATTATGTTCTTCTTTAGTGGCTCCCCATTCCAATTGTTACTTTGCCTTCTTCTGGACCTTCCCTGCTTCCAGTAGATCTTCCTTACAGATGTAATATTCAGAATACAATATTACAAATGGTGATGCACTTGGTTTTATCCCAACAAGATAAAGTTTTCAGTTTGTTGATGCTATCACAAAATTTTTACCTACTTGACTGAGGTCATCAAAGAGTTACTTAAACTTCATAAGAATTGTCTCTGCAATTTTGTCATGCTAACATTAGATGGCAAAAAGACAATCCCATTCAATGGTCATAGGATCTGTTGAGCTCTAAGCATGTTGAATTGAGATCATAGAATCAACACACATGCTTAAGCCTTTTCTACATATTTACCAAAAAAAAAAAAACATTAAGTTTTAGCTATAATGTCATTTTAAGGAAGCATCTAATTTAAAGAAGTTGTTTCTTTAAGTCAAAATTCCAAAAAATCTTTCTGCAATTTATTTCCATTTATATAACTCTTAACTATCTAAAATATAATGTCATCTAGACAGTATAGAGCATGGGTGCGATTTTTGATGGGGTATTTACTTCTTCCAAATCATAGGTAAATATATTAAATAATACATGCCCGGTGGTTTTCAAACTTCAGTATTGTCAAGCAGCATGTGGCTTGAATAAACACAGCAATACATGGTGCAGACCTAAAACAAAAATTTACGGATTCAGGGCTAGCAGAATGCACGGGATCCCCCTGCTGCTTGCCAACCCGTGGAGAGTTGTGCCTGGGCCTGGCACAACTGGATGCACCTTGGGAAATGCTCCAGGAGAGGGATCCTGACTCCCTGCCAACTCAACGTATTTATGGAGGATTGGCAAGGGAGCAGGGATCACCCAACTGATTTGGAAAACTTGGAGCTTTTCCATCGGGGTTACAATCTTATTGGTTTAAAAAACAAGCTTTTTGACACCAATTGCCTGGGGAATTTTCTTTATCAACCTTGGTTTCTGCCTGAGGCCTTACAGCCTCCCTGCTGAGCCAGCTTGTTGCTAGGCTGCAGGAGGAGACCAGAGAGCCTGGGTTATCCAGCGGACAGACTAGTGTGTCTTTCCTCAAGTATGCACAAGAGTTCACATTCAGTAGGTAAGGAAATGGAGCCACGAATTTGCATTTTAAGGTGTCCATGGTGATTCTGATGCTGGTGGTCACGGACTCCACCTGTAGAAATGTTACTTCACCCAGTTGTGAGAAAACCTTCTCTTCAATCTGAATTTATTCTTTAAATAGCTGTCTGTAAGAAATCTTGTGGAAGATTTTTGAAATTTTAACTAGATGATGAGATTCTTTATGCGGCTACTGGGGAGTTTATAATCTTATCTCTGAAATATTTTAAAATTCTAAATCCATCAGTATGTAATTCTATAATCTGCCAAGTGCAGAGGTACAATGCCCAAGCCATTTTTAATGGTCCTTTTTGTGGTAGAGATGTGTGAAAATTGGGTGCTGTTCTGGTTGATGTTTCTTCCATGTTAGGTATTCTGTTATAGTTTTATCATAGAGGTATGAGTGTATTACATATAAACGTGTATTACATACATATGTAGAATGTATTACATATATATGTAGAAAAAGTATGAATGTGCATCTTCTCAGTGGGTCATATTAGTCTGCGAACTAGGTAAGTACCTTAGTAATAATGCAGTACCTCTATAGAGAGGTGAGCTCATTTCAGAATGTAATAGAGTGTCTCTGTGTCTGTCTTTGTATAGTATATCCATGGATAAAAATGGGATGACTGGATGAGCCTATTTACATGTCTGTGTCTAGGAGTGTGATGATTTAGGATAAGGAAAAATGCATAAGTAGATTTTTTTTCTCTGCCTCATGATTGGACTGTATGGAAAAGATCAAGTGGTCAAGTGATTTATATTTTTCTCTTATTTAGGATAAATATGCATAATGTCATTAGCAGATTATATATAGATGATTTCCACTGTTCCAAGTTATGCTTCAATATGGATAAACACAAGACTTTCATATGATATGAAAAAAATCCCATACTTAGGTTACAAAAGGATTTAACTAATGCCTGGTACATACTAGGTGCTCAATAAATATGTGACTCGACTGTAAAGGTGGCTGGCACCCAGGAGGGAACATTAAGGAGTGGTTTAACACCCTTCAATAATCTCCATCAGCAACCCCCATCCCCCCATTCTTTAATGGAGTCAGTTAACATTTTTACCAATTTTTTTGTAAAGTGCTATGTAAAAGCAACTTCAAGCCTGCCCTTCCAACCCAGTTGGGCTCCAGCGCCCTTCCTATACACAAACTGTGAAATTGCCAATGGCTCTCTGACTCACGAATGTGAACTGCCTTTGAAATAATCTTGCTTTCTTTCCACAATTTATCTGTTTTCCACAGTTAATTTGTTCTTCCATATAGTAGCAAGATGAGGCAGACAGACAAGGTCATTTTTAATTCCTATGTCTCCAAATCTCTTCCTCTGACTTACTATGGTATCTGAAATGCCACTATTAAAGATCCATTCTGGGGCCAGCCTGGTGGTGCAGTGGTTAAGTGCACGTGCTCCGCTTTGGCGGCCCGGGGTTCGCAGGTTCGGATCCCGGGAGCGCACCAATGCACCGGTTGTAAAGCCATGCTGTGGCGGGTCCCATGGAGAATAGAGGAAGATGGGCACGGATGCTAGCCCAGTGCCAGATCTTCCTCAGCAAAAAGAAGAGGATTGGCATAGGATGTTAGCTCAGGGCTGATCTTCCTCACACACACAAAAAATAATAAATAAAAAAAAATAAAAGCAGAATTTAGAAGACAGATTTAGGAAGTGAAATATGGATAAAAATAGAAAATAAACTTCAAAAAGCTATAGTCTATGAGGACTGGCCCAGATAATGATCAATTCACAGATGGTCTCACTTAAAGTTTACAAAATTGTTGCTTACACAATTATTAGAAACATATGAGGTGCTGGCCTGGTGGTGTAGTGGTTAAGTTCATGCACTCTACTTCGGCGGCCCGGGGTTCACAGGTTCGGATCCTGGGCACGGACCTATGCATCGCTCATCAAGCCATGCTGTGGCGGCGTCCCACATACAAAATAGAGGAAGATGGGCACAGATGTTCGCTCAGGACCAATCTTCCTCAGCAAAAAAAGGAAGATTGGCAATGGATGTTAGCTCAGGCCCAATCTTCCTCACCAAAAAAAAAAGAAAAGAAAAGAAAAGAAACATATGAAACCACAGCTGATAATCTGCAAACTGCTGGGCAAAACTCTTTGTCTTGAGGTATGAGATGGTCAGAGTCTAGCTCAAACTATCTCAAACCCCCATGAAAAATGCTGAATTGGAAGGGGAGTTGCACCACCTACAGCATCTCAAGGGCAAGAAAAGCCTGTCGTCAGGAGGTAGAAGGTGCACACACAATATTACAATTTTAATTTTGAAGGGTACCTTGAGTTCCATTTGTCACTTTTCTGAATTTATCTGTCAGGAACAGACTTAAGGACATTTTACTGGGATTTAACTTTTTGGCAAAACAGAAACTTTGGTCATAGCCATGGTTCTATAAAAATATTTTAAAGGGGTTATTATTTCTGATTAAAATAATGTTTTTAGCAAGTGATACATAACAATAACAAGAAAGTAAACATCTTTGAATCTAATGTAAGAGCAAAACCTCTTTACTAGCATCTTATTTTAAATACAGTGAAAGGGGGCCGGCCCCGTGGCTTAGCGGTTAAGTGCGTGCGCTCCGCTGCCGGCGGCCCGGGTTCGGATCCCGGGTGCGCACCGAGGCACCACTCCTCCAGCCATGCTGAGGCCGCGTCCCACATACAGCAACTAGAAGGATGTGCAGCTATGACAGACAACTATGTACTGGGGCTTTGGGGGAAAAATAAATAAATAAAATCTTTAAAAAAAAAAAAAAAAAAAAAAATAAATAAATACAGTGAAAGGGTCAGCAGTGCTTACAAACAACAGTGGATTCTCTTATAGGGAATCAGAAAAATAGTACAATAAGGCATAGCCTATTATTGTCACAGATTTGTGTTAGGCAGTAGTATTTTTTCTGGGTAGCACAAGTTGGAAATCTTACTACCCAAAGGCTTAAAATGTGGTTCTGAAGATAATGTCAAATGAATAGGTAGACTATGAACTTCTCTGGGCCACAGCCGTCTTATTTATAAAATGGAGACACAAATGCACTGCCTAACTGAAGCTAAAGACATTTTGAAGTCTGTTCCCACTCTAGGATTTATTATTATTCTACTACACTCAAAGAACCCTGACTCCCTCTGAGAAATGTTATCTGTCACCACCCATCTCTCTTTTAGTCCTAGGCTACTTGTGTGCTAGACCTCATCCCCTCATGCCTCCTCAGGGACTCTGCTTTGTCAATTAGTCCTTTTTTTTTCTTGTAACTTTTTCTCCCCCTAGATTGAGTGATTGATTTACTTACTTACTTACTTACTTACTGACGAAGATTTGCCCTGAGCTAACATCCACTGCCAACCTTCCTCTTTCTGCTGAGGAAAATTGGCCCTGAGCTAACATCTGTTGCCAATCTTCTTCTTTTTGGCACAGCATGGCCACAGACAGACAAGTGGTGTAAGTCCGCACCCGGGAACTGAAACTGGGCCACTGAAGCAGAGTGCGCTGAACTTAACCGCTAGGCCACCAGGGCTGGCCCTTCCTGTAACTTCTGTCTCTGTCTCTCTCATTTCCCTTTCCTCTCTGAACATGAACATGTTCTTCTATCTTAAAAAAACCACACACACACACGCAATCCAAACTTTTTCTATCCCATATCCCCCTTTTACCATCACTCTCCCACTCTCCTTCCTTTCACAGCCAAGTTTCTTAAAAGAATGCCTAAATTCAGGGTCTCTCTTTCCTCACCTCTCTCAGGAGTAACTCTTTTTGCTGAGGTCCTCAGGGACCTGCTAAATGCAAGATCCAGTGGAGACATTTCAGTCCTTATCTCCCTTGGCCTTTCTCTAGCATCTGTTATAACTCTTTCCTCCCTTGATTTCTGTGACTTCACACTCTCTTGGTACCTCTCCAGCTTCGTGGACAGTTCCTTCTCAGTCTCCTTCAAAGACATCACTTTCTTCATCCACCCCACCCCTAAGATGTTGACGTCTATCATGGTCCACCCTCAGCGCTCTCCTCATCTCACACTATTATTCTCTGCAAGAATTTCATTCATCTTATAATTTCAACTACCACTTATTCACTTGGTTCTCAAGTTATTCAGCCTGGTCTTCCTTCCAAACCTCCAGATACATAAATTTCCCACTAGTCATCCATGCCTGTATGTTTCCCCATTGTGATGTTTAATTTTATGTGTTACCTTGGCTACGCTGTGGGTATTTTTTAGATGTAACGTTTTTTTATTTTTATTTTTTGAACTACTTTATTGAGGTATGATTGACATACAAAAAGCTTTACATATTTAACATATACAACTTGATAAGTTTAGAGATAAGTATATGCCTGTGAAACTATCACCACAATCTATGCCGTAAACATACCCCTCACCTCCAAAAGTTTCCTCTCACCCTGTTTATTCATTATTATTAATTTTGTGTGTGTGATAAAAACACTTGTAAGATCTACCCTCTTAGCAAATTTTTAAATATACAATACAGTATTGTTAACTATAGGCTCTATGCTGTACAGTAGATCTCTAGGACTTGGTTGTCTTGTATAACTGAAACCTTGTACACTTTGACTAACACCTCCTTGCTTCCTCTCCTGCCAAGCCTCTGGCAACCACCATGCTACTCTGTGCTTCTGAGTTTGACTAATTGCAGATTCTTCATATAAGTGGCATCATGGCGTATCTGTCCAGATGTAATTAACATTTACAATCAGTTGACTTTATTTTTTTTATTTTTTATTTTTTAATAACTTTATTTATTTTTTTTCCCCCAAAGGCCCAGTAGATAGTTGTATGTCATAGCTGCACATCTTTCTAGTTGCTGTATGTGGGATGCGGCCTCAGCATGGCCGGAGAAGCAGTGTGTCGGTGCGCGTCCGGGATCTGAACCCCGGTCGCCAGCAGCGGAGCGCGAGCACCTAACCGCTAAGCCACAGGGCCGGCCCACAATCAGTTGACTTTAAATGAAGCAGATTACGCGCCATAATGTGGGTGAGCCTCATTCAGTCAGTTGAAGTCTATTTTAAATGCGAAAGACAGAGGTTTCTCCAAGAAATTCAAAGGAACTCTGTCTCCAGAATGGAACATAGAAATCCTGCCTGAGTTTCCAGCCAAGACTGCAACATCAACTCTTACCTGAATCTCCAGGCTGATGGCTTGTCCTATGGATTTTGGACTTGTAAAACCCCACAATTGCATGACTCAATTCCTTAATATCTATCTATCTATCTATCTATCTATCTATCTATCTATCTATCTATCTAACTATCTATCTACCTACCTACCTACCTACCTACCTACCTATCTACCTCCCTCCCTACCTACCTATTTCCTACTGGTTCTGTTTCTCTGGAGAACCCTGACTAATACCCCCATCATCTACACATCATGTCCAAATCCCTTAGCACACCCACAAGGATCTTCATGACCTGGCTGTCATCAATTTATTCAGCCTCACTTGCCATTTTCATACATCCATCCTCCCCTCCTTTCATACTGACCCTTCTATCATTCCCAGAGCTTGCCACATTCTTTTGCATCTCTGTGTCTTTGCACTATCTATCCACCTAAAAAACTTTTTATCCTTCAGAACACAGCTCAAGCTTCACCCTGGGGTCTGTGAAGGAGGTAAGCAGAAAAAGGAGCTTCTTCTATGTTCCTATTGCACTTTGTACATACATACTTCCTTTAAGCACTAGTCATATTTATGGAATTATTCCTTATAAATATTTCCCCTCTTTTAGAAATCTTGTTTGAATTTCTAGCATCTAGTGTAGTGTCTGGCACACGGTAGGCAACTGGCAATCAAGAAATATTTGATTGACAATAAAAATTCTCTGCTTAAGATATTAAATGGCTACCCATCACTTTCAAGAGAAAGCCTCCTCAGTACAGCACACAGGGTTCTCATGTTCCCCTTTCTGGTCTCCTCTCCCATCAGGCCTCCACAGCACCCACATTTCTAGTCATGCTGAACTAGCTGCAGTTCTCCCAGCAAGCTTAGCTTCCTTGCATTTACTTCTGTACCCTTTGTTCACCTAGAACATTCTCCCTCCCCTCAAACCATGTGGCAATTTCCATTGTCCTTTTAGTCTTCGCCTCGAGTTTTCTGTCTCCTGGTGAACCCTATTTTAATCCCCTCCTTGCTCTTTCCTCTGTGTTTCCTTAGCACTGTGTACTTATCCTACTTAGTGTGATTGTCTGCTTCTTAGTCTACCAACTGCAGAATATAAATCACAGTCTATCTGCCCTTCCTATTCTGCAGCTCCTTGAGGACTGTGCAGAGCCCCACTGCTGCCACTGTTGCATTTGAATTGAACTGAGGGGTGTGGAAGGGAGATGCAAAGTGGAAGGGTTTTGCTGAAGACAATCCCCTTACTACACACTTTGCCAAATTCCTGCCTTATAGACCATTACTCTGGAGATGAGATGTTTGCCTTAAGAAATACTCAGCAAATGTCATTTGCCAACAGTGTTGATTATTTTGCAATGGTCCATCAAAGTTTGGCAAGTTTCAGCATTCCAGAAACAATTCTCTACTGTAATCTAAGTAATCATATATAGAAAGATTAAAAAACCATAGGATGTCTTCAAAAGATTATAATTTCAAACTTGATTTGGGGGCAGCAATGAAGGGACTGAAATCATTCCTTTTCCCTTTTAACCACAAATCCTTTCTGCAGCTCCTTCCTCCCACCAGGCACTTTCTGGTTTCACGCTGCCACCCTGACCCTCATTCCCAGCTGACCCACCCCACCTTCCTACTCTCCACTCCAAGGGGCTTTCCTTTTCATGTACCTTTTGGAATCCAGACTCTCCATCAAAATGAATCTCTGTATCTCAGTCTATCAGCCAGATGATGTGATGATTTTTGCAAAATATTAATGGATGATCTTCTGAAAATCTTTAAAAACATTGCGTTTGAACCAGATGCTTCTGTTAATGTCTGTGTTTTACCCCAAGGTACATGTTCTCCCTATTAGGATACTGAAGTGCTCTAGATTATCTACAGGAGTTTCATCACATTTACTAAAAATGCCTTCCAATTTCATGTGTCCCTGCCAATTATTTCTTGCCACATAATCGCATCTTGCACAATGTTTCTTCTTATGCCCTTTTCTTAGGCCTTCCAGGAAACACTGTTCCTGCGCAAATGGTGTCAAATTGAAGAAGCTAAATCTTTGGCCAATTGTAAGAGGAAACCTCAAACTAAGAAGACAGAAATCAAATAGAGTGTGCAATTTGACATGCATAAGCTGAGAATCCTCTTTCCCTTCTCTTTTCTTCTTTTTTCTCTTTCCTTTCCTCTCTTTCAACAAATGTATTTTGAGGTCTACAGCAAAGATTTATGCGTCACACTACCCAGACATTACTAAAAGTATAAGAAAGCAATTATTAAGAAGCAATGCAGACCATATTTAAAGAGACGTGTTTGATTTATTGGGATTGAATATTTTGAAGGAGGAGACGTATATTATGTTGAACCATGTAAAACTGCCAACCCTATGTGGTAGTGGTTCTCAAATTGTGGTCTGGAGATCCCAGGATGTTCCCAATTCCATTTTGGAGGCCCACAACACTCTTTTCATAATAACACTAAGACGTCAGTTGCACTTTCACTTTTATTCTCTTACAGATGTACAGTGGAATTTTCCAGAGACTGTATGATGTGTGCTATTCTAACAAATTGAATGCAGAAGCAGATGAGAATCCATCTGTCTTCTATTAAGCCAGACATTGAAGAGATTTGCAAAAATGTAAAACAATATCACTCTTTTCACTAATTTTTTTTTTTGGTTTGGGAAAATATAACTTTTTTTCATAGAAATATATGATTTATGTTAACATGTAACGGGTTTATTATTATTTCTAAATGATTTAATAAATATTTAATTTTTTCAGTTTTAATTTAGATTACAATGAATATCAATAAATATAACCTACATTAAAAAAAGCTCTTTAGACTCTCAATTTTTAAGAGTGTAAAAGGGTCTTGCGTTGAAAAGTTTGAGAACCTCTGCTTTGTGGTACTTGAAAATAGCTGCCTTTTGTTTCAAAGACAGAGCAAGAGATGTAAAGTGCTTCCCTAGGAACTAAATGAGATTAATCATGGGAGTGGTTGTTAAGGGTTTGATCTGATCCAGAGTGTCAGAGGCACTTCTGTGTTCTTGAATAATTTATTTTTTGTGGTTGTGATAATATGGGGCTCTCTACAGCATGGAGCCCACAGCAGAGACCCTGTTTCCTGGGTCTAATGGCAGTACTGTAGAAGAGCAATAATAATGAGAAAATTAGCTGATCAGAGATAACATACTAAAATTTTCACCCCAACAATGAAAATGGTAAAGCACAACCATGTGTTCCTCTTCTTTCCTTTGCCCTAGTCAAAATAAAAAGATAGGTTTAGGG